ACATTTTAATGAATTTTATTTAATTTATACTCTTGGTGGTGGTGGTGGTGGGTGATGTATATGTGTGTGTGAGAGAGAGGAAGAAGAGAGAGAAAGAGATACAGAGATTGAAAGTCTTCTCTAAGATATTAAGCTATATAACCTTTCTCTTTGCAAACCAACTCTTCCCCTTTTATTCCTCTTTAATTGTCGATTCATTACTTAGGCTTAGCCATTGGTCATCCTTTTACTCTAAAAAATAACTGCTGGCTGGGGGAGTGACTTGAGTGGTAGAGTGGCTGCCTAGTGAGTGTGAGGTCTTGAATTCAAACCCCAACACCGCAAAACAAAAACCAACCAAACCAACCAACCAACCAAACAAACAAAAATACCCAACTGCCAGTGATGGTTAGTAAGTAGTGGGAAATTACTATTACTTATTTGTTAAGAAGAACTATGTAGTTGTAAAAGTACCTGAGGGTTATGTAGGCACATTTCCTCACTTCTGTATGGAGGATGTATAGTTTCTTCTCTATGTAAGTAAGAAAAAAATTTTAAGTAAAAGTCCTCATCCAAACTATTTAAATTATTTTGTCTTAGTTGAGAATAAACTGTTGAGCTTTGATGTTGAATCCCTGAGCATATACACAGAAAGTTCCTCTAGGAGCATGCTCAGAATAATTGGGTTGCTACAGGACTGCACAATAAATTCATATTTCTAGTTTTAGGACTCACATACTCTATAAAATACTGAGTAACAAGAAATCTTAAATAAATAGTATTTTTCTGGGTTCTTTCTGTCTTGAATGCTATCCTGTCATTTCCTTTGCAGGTGTCTACACTTTGTTCACTTATCAGTTTCAATGAGATTTCCTAAGAGAACATTCATCTGACCTTTCAGAATTGTCCAGACTTTTTTAAAGGATATACTCTCAAGATGACTTTTTTTCTCACTACACAATCATAGTGCTATGAAACAACAGTATAGTTTTCTTGAAAAAATATAAAATCCTAGTAATAAAGAAAGATTAGTGTTTGCTAAAACACAGTTATGTAACAGAATGTTTACTATACGATTCTTTTTTACCTGAAAAGTAAAGCTTTGGAAGTTTAGACAGGCACACTTGCATACAGACTTTGCACACAGAGATGCATTTATTGCATTAGACCCCTGTTTGTTGTTTAATCCAGTCACGGTAGGTTGGCACTTGAGTGTACACTCCTGGCCTATTTGGAATACCACACTGATATCCCCAGCTCACTATTCCCAGGATGAACCAAAGCCGCCGTGGGTCTTCTTGTACTAGCGGGCCTCCAGAATCACCCTGAAGGAAACAAAATGATTGATTACTTAAATGCAAAGATAAACCAAAATTTTGAGTTTATTTTATGGCATTAGAGGAAGTCATATCCACTTAAACAATAAAGTCATTTATTTCTTTATTGAAATATTATACCAAGCCAGGCAAAATTTGTCCAAGTTGTCCCTTCAGCAAGTCTGTGAAGAAGATGTGAAGACCCCTGTTTGTTGTTTAATCCAGTCACGGTAGGTTGGCACTTGAGTGTACACTCCTGGCCTATTTGGAATACCACACTGATATCCCCAGCTCACTATTCCCAGGATGAACCAAAGCCGCCGTGGGTCTTCTTGTACTAGCGGGCCTCCAGAATCACCCTGAAGGAAACAAAATGATTGATTACTTAAATGCAAAGATAAACCAAAATTTGAGTTTATTTTATGGCATTAGAGGAAGTCATATCCACTTAAACAATAAAGTCAATTTATTTCTTTATTGAAATATTATACCAAGCCAGGCCAAATTTGTCCAAGTTGTCCCTTCAGCAAGTCTGTGAAGAAGATGTGAAACACATTGCCTAGACTTTTCTGAGTTATCACTTGGCTCCCTCCTACACATCTTAGGCTTGACCTCACCCAGGAAGTCTTCTCTGAACTGTTCCTTTTTTCTCCATTTTCACTCCACTTTTGGGCTATCACTGTGTTCTCACAGCTTGTGTTAGAAACTTGATATGACTGAACTCACTCCCACTGGCCAGCCTTCTTGTAGCAGCAGCTTGTTTCTGCAGCGCACTTTGAGTGTATGACGTTTGCTCAGTGTCTGCTTTCCCAGTGCCACCATAAGGTCCATCAGGAAAGGGATCATACCTGTTCTTGATACTGCAGAAACCTAAGCTTCTCATTCACAGATGATGCATATAGAAATATTTGTTGAATGAATGGGTTTCTAGAAGTCTTATTTACCTATCTTTAATATCTATAGTATATCATCATAGTATATCATCAAGAAGTATTCCTTTGGTAAATAATTGAACAGAAATGAACAGGGCAACAAGTTAAACACTCCTTTTGTACCAACCGATTATAATAGCCAACCAATGAGTAAATATTTATATATGTAATAGTCCAGTTGGGGAGATAAATTTAGTGTTTCTTACACACTGCAGGATGGGTTAATTTTGTGAGTTCCAGTATTAGAAAGCTTGGTGTGAATCCTTTACTTACCAGGTATGAGAGTTTCAACTTTTAGGCTGGTAGAAGGGCTGGTAGAATGCTCAAGTGTTAAGAGCGCCTGCCTAACAAGTTTGAGGCCCTGAGTTCACACCCTAGTGCTGTCCAAAAAAAAAAAAAAAAAATCCAACTCTCTGTGCCTCAGTTTTCTCATCAGTAGATAATGTTTCTGTGAGTTTAAATGTGTGTAACACACAAAGTACTTTGAGGACAGCCTGGCATATAGTTAGTACTAGTAGAAGTCAGCTATTATTACCAAGCATGCATTTGACTGCTCTTAGTAGTTAGTTCTTCCACAACTGCTTCTTTACTTGCTTAGATAGGGAGAAGGATATGTGTGTGTGAATCATCAACTTGTGTGGTAAGTACCATATGGAGCTTTGGTCCTTCCCTCCTCTGGATGATGTGTGCACAACCTAGTTAACCAGTTCCCAATTATTCCCTGTCATTGTGATTTTTCTTTTTTTTATAGTACTAGGGCTTTTGAACTCAGACTCAAGATTGCTAAGCAGGCACTGTACCACTTGAAGCACACCCCCTGGCCCTTTTTGTCTTAGTTATTTTTCAGGCTCAGGCTGGCCTAAGATCATGATCCTCCTTATCTCACCTCACACACAGCTGGGCCACAGTTGCATGCTACCGTGCCTGTGGCTTGTTTTGTTGAGGTGGCATTTTACTAACTTTTTGCCTGAGCTGCAGATCCTATTGATGTTCCCCTCCCTAGCTGATATTACAGGTGTGCACCACCATACCTGTTTTTTTAATGACAAAATTTTCTCCAAGATGTCTTATCAAGAATGGGCAAGCAATGCTCAACTAAAAGAGGCATATAATTTTTCCTGTACCTAGCTAATTTTACTACCCTAAGTGCAGACAGTTGAGCTGTCCCTGTCTTGTAGACCACAGACCTGCTGAGTGCAGGGAATGCATTATTATGTGAACACAGTGAAAGGTACATAGAAAGCAAGGAATACAATGCTTTTGATGAATGAATTCATGAGTGAAATAAACAAATAGGATCTTATAAGCTTCTGTGAAGAATATTTATTTACTTATTTTTTTGAAGTACAAATTGTATACATTATGGTATTTCACCTGATAATCAGTGAGGCACAGAAGATTTCATGATGAGTTATGGCTTGAACTGAGCTCAAAAGAAGAGCAGAGTTTGCATTCACAGTATGTAAAGGAAGCAGAAGTGGAAAAAAACAGACTTATACCATTTTAGCTTTCATACGTATCCTTAAGTCGGTTCTAACTAATATTCTTGGTAGATCTGAAATTCTCACTGTGCATGATTTGATTGATGAGTTCTTTTGAAAACTATCATGAAACTTGAGGACTTGTTATAGGAAGGTAAATAAGCATTCTGCACCACAAAGACATCTCCACTTAAAGGGATTGTAAAGGTCTGAGTGGGTAACCAATGGTATTTAGAAGACTGAGAAGTAAATCTCCTCCACTATAAGCAATTGAAATTGATGAGACGCTTCATTTGGGGGAAAGGACTTACAAACTGGGGTCTTTGCATAAACAATAAGCATCACTTCTCATCTACTTTTTCAAGACTGTTAAATATGAAAGTCAGTAACACTCAATGCAAAGAATGAAGCATCTTTTTGTTTACCGTTCACCCAGGAAAACAGTAGCTAATTCCTCAAGAAATGAAATTATTTAAAATAATATTTATTTGCTGACACTAACTAGTTGTTCCTGTGACTATTTGGGTTGAATTTCAGAAACAGAAATATCTATTACATTTATAATTACATCAATCAAGTTTAAGTATTTTAGTAAAAATTTTAACATTAAAATTTTATTCTAATTGTCATAAAGCAAGAATTGCATTTTTATTATTTCCTTTTATATATTTGGTTAAATTATAGGCTGAATTCAATAATAATTTTTTCTTTTCCATTTATGCTGTTACATAATTGTGGGAGCTCATGACTCAATAATTAAGATTTTGCATAAATTTTCTATATTCAAGATGCTTCTGGAATTATTTATGTCAAAATTTAATTATTGTCTAGGAACCTCATATGAGTGATTTATTATTTTTAACTTATAAGGTAGAAATGCTGCTATAATTTATGAATATAATATGGAATAATTACATAAAGCTTGTTAACTTCTCCACCACTTCAAATACTTAACATTGTGGCACAATCATTTGAGGGGAGAGGTTTTTTTTTTTTGTCTGTTTTTTTGGTGCTGGATCGAACCCAGGGCCTCACGCATGCTAGGCAAGCGCTGTACCACCGAGCTACATCCCAGTGTGGCACAATCATTTGAAATGTATTTTCTCACAATTTTGAAATGTACAATACCCTATTATTAACTATTTTACCATGATGTGCAATAGCATTTGTATTAATCTTTCAACAGTTAAAAACTGAAAGTCAATGCTTTTATTTACATCATAAAGTAGGTAGGCCAGCACAGAGCATTCCAGCAAGACTGCTCCATTATAACTATTTGAAGCATTACACACATTGTTGCTTATTATTTGGACCTGTCCTTGCCGTAGATCTGAGACTGTGTTACCTGTTTAGTAAAAAAGACGAAAACGATGGACTTCAGAATATATCAATAATAACTTTGAGCTGAATTTGGAGAGAAGTTTAACTCCTTTAGACACATGAGCCTTTTCTTTTTTTCTCCCCCATCTCTGCACTTACTTTGTGATGCGTTGCCCCTTACAACTTTAGAAAAAACTATTTTTTCTTTCTTAAAATCGACTAAGAGCATTTAAATTATCCACTGATTGACTTTGGATTGCAAAATTTCATATTGATTAACCTTTCATCTAGCAGCAAAAGAGAAATCAGTTTGATTTCAAGGTTAAAGAACTATTGAATTTTATATTGATGCGCCCTCAAAATAGCACTGTTTACAGTTTTGCACAACTGGCACAAATTTTGTCTATTTCACCAAGTTACTTTGGGCAAAAGAACACAATGAAGCATTTTTTTTCTGGGGCAATTTTAAGGCTTTGTTTTATGCCTTGGAGAGATAATAAATATATGTAAAATCCCAGGTAAATCATTAGTGCTACTTTCATCCCCGGCTGATACTGTACTCTTTCACATTGTCCTCATCTTAATTTTCGTTCTGTTCATTCAATAAATATGAACAATGATCATGTATACATGGAGTTCCTTGCCTTGGAGGTGGGTTCATTTTATCCAGAATACCTTTTGGGGTAGTCAATACCTGAAGGGTTGTGAAAGTCCTTAGACAATATCTATATAGAAAGGCTCCCCCTTTTTTTATTTATAGAGAAATGACTTGGATCCTATAGAATTTTTAAATTATTAAAACCTCATGTTTCTTTATTGCTTTCATTTACATTTCCTTATTGCTGTGCTTGAGGATCCTCCATAGTTTTGAGAGTTAGCACAAAGCTCAGGGCTCACTATAATATAAAATGGTTCTGTCAGAAGAACCTGTCTTCCAGATGTTTCCTAATTTAAAATTATGTAATAGCAAAGAACAGGATATTTGCATTGTTAGATTGTTTTGCTCTATTTTTCTTAAAGACACTTACTTCCATAGGTTAGAGAGCCCCATCCTATTACATAAGCTGTAGAACCAGGTACAATATTCTGGGTAGCCTCTGGGAGACAAACTCTGTGGATGTTTTTGGTAAAGGTGACAGCTGTGCTAAGTTGCACAACTGCAATGTCGTTTTCATGAGTTGCAGGTCTGTAATTGTTGTGGACTAAAATAGACCTTATTCTTGCTCTCAGTCTAGGAAATATCGTGGAAATTCCAAAGGTGGCAGTCCATTGTTGAGGATTAGGGTAGCTAAAAAATATGAAAACATGCTTTTTGAGTGGGGAATTTTTTGAGTGGGGAATTGTAAGCTTCCCAATATTTGAACATCGTGTTTGCCACTTCCCTGCATTATAAGTGCATACATGTGTCATTTATCTAAAGAAAAATAGAAAGATTTTAGAAAACATGTCTTAGAGAGATGACTGTCTTGGTTTCAATGAGATATTCTAATACTTCAATGATAACTACCATAACATAAGTATCTTCTTTGATCTCTCCCCTTTCTTTACCCTTCCACACTAGCAACTAAGAGTTCTGAAACAATGACCATTTTAGTTCATTTTCCTTTTTCTTTCTTTCTTTCATTCTCTCTCTCTTCTTCCTTCTCCTCCTTCTTTCTTTTCTTCTTTTTTTACTGTCTCTCCCTCCTTGCTTCTCTCCATTCTTCCTCTCTTTCTTTCCTCTTCCTTCTTCTTTCTTCCTCTTCCTCCTCTCTTCTGCTTTCTCTTTTCTGCTTTAGTTATTCTTCATCATCATGCCAGGTTTGTTCAGATGGGATCTCACTAACTTTTTGCCCTGGCTGTCTTGAACAGAAATCCTCTTGATCTCTACCTCTCGAGTAGCTGGACTTATAGGCATGAGTCACTGTGTCAGGCATTAACTCATGCCTTTCTATTCTTATTTTTTCCCCTTTTCTTAATAGCAAGTGTTGGTGAAGAGTGAAATAGGGTCTCTTTTTGGATTACTGGTGAAGATATAAACATTTACAAAGCATTCTGGTACTTTTACCAGATTGCATACACACTTCTGGGTACACATCTCAGAAAAATTCCTCAAGGTTTAAAGAAAGACATGCATGTTGTGTGTGTGTGTACATGCTTTTCTGGCAGCGGGAAGGTAGAGAAACCTGGTTGGATAAAGGAAATATGATGGCTGCTTACTATGGATTGCCATGAAGCAATGGAGCAGATAAAAATTCTCAGATTTCAGTAAAAACAGTACAAAACAATATGAGACTTATACATATACTAATTTAATAAATTAAAAGCAAGTACACACAAAATTATAGGTTTTGGAAGCATATTCATATTAAAAGTCATGTTTTGAGTATATTAGTGCAAGGCTTCTGGGGGAAGGAAGGACAGTGAGAAGTTGGATTCAGGAATAGAGAAGAAAAAATATGAGTTAAGAGAGAGCTCTTGTACATACTGAGGAAAATAAGAGTCTGTGACTTAGAAGGCTGATTAACTTGACATTATTTCTCAGGTTGAATAAAAATAAAATGTAAGCCAATAATAATTTAAGAATTTTATGGAGTTTTGATACTGGGGTTAATTAAAAAAATTGTATGTCTAGAAAATACTTTTTCAAGGTATGGTAACTTGTGAAGAGTGAACCATAATTAAAAATTTTGAAGAAAAAATTTAAATGCAAGCAAATCCATGATTTATTTCTTTGCATTGGATTTCTTTTGATCAGGGTATTTCCTGGGAAGATTCTAAAGAAACCCTTCTTTCACTCCTCTTTCTTTCTCTTTCCTATTTCTTTCTGTCTCTCTTTTCCTTTCTTCTAGCAAATGAATAAAAGCATGGTTTTGGAACCAGTTTTATGTACATTTAAATCTTGACTATGCCACATATTAGTATTATTATTTATGACAAGTTAGTTAATATCTCTGATTCTAGATTTGTGTATAAAATGTGATTGATGATAATGAAAATAATATTAATAATCATAGTGAATTAATGATAATTCACATGATATTAATGAAACAAGTGAAATATGTCAAACACAGTTGCTGGCATAAAGTAACACTCACTGAACAAAGCTATGATATTCCTTAATTTTAGCTCAACAATTCATTGCTAAGTGTCTACTTTGCACAAAGAACACTATTCCTTGAGTCTCTGGGAATGTGATAAAGAATAGAAGGATTTGTAGTGACAAAATTCAAAGATATTCCCTGCTTTGGTAATCCTTGGTAATTCTTACAATTGTGGCTTTCATTATAGAGATATGCTTTACTTAGCTTTTGATACTTGGGTCTTAATAGGTTAATGATCCAATCCTTTTTCTATTGAATCCTTGGTTATGTTAAGTGCTTGCTAAGACCAGATGTTTGCATTTCTGGTCCCCACACTCTTATTGTAATTGAAATCAATTAGTATCATTTTTATTCTTAGAATTTCAAGTAGCAATGATGATTGAAATGTTTTTGTGAATTTTGATTTTTGTGTTATCTGGGGTATAGCAATAAATCTGCCAATCTAAATCAGAAATTATATAATTTTAGGAATATATCTTAAAATTCAAATTTATTCATTGCCTATAAAATGGGTCATAAACTAGTATAAGAAAAGTTTAGTTTTTGGGGGTTTTCTAAAATTTTTGTTCAGAAAGTGTACACTTGTCCGTCCTATTAACCTTTATTTTTCTTAATCTAATGAGCATGTTTTTATAAGACACTATAATGAAAGAGTACCCTAAAATCTCAGTAGCATTTTTAGAAATTGTGAGGATTTCTTGGAATTTCAATAGGAAGAAATGGAGATTTGGAAAGTATATTAGTATTTCAGGGAGAACTAGCTGGTTGAGCAGGGCTTGCAGGCAGAGAATGTAGGAAGAGTCCAGAAGAGAAAACTTCTGTTAGCTGGAAGCTCAAGGTACATGCTTTGAGAAATAAGTTTGGATTAATTTGACTGTGGAGAACTTTGAGTATGTAATAAGTAGGGTGGATTATAGACAGTAGCAAGTTATTGAAAAAGCCTGAGAAGAGAATAAATATGATCAGGGACACATTTGAGTTCATTATCACTTTTTTGGGTGATCTTTTTGAGTGTAGTTCTCAACAAGTGTTAGTATTAATAATAAAATAGGATACCCCAAAAATAAAATAGGTCTGAAAATAGCAAGTTTTCATCATACTGAAGTCTAAAATCCATCTATTATGAGCAGTGTGCTCTTTTATCTATATCAATATGCAATAACAATAAGTTGAAGCAGTCTACTCTCCACTTGCCATTTATTATCCCAGTGTAGGCAACAGTCTTTAATTACCTCAATTAAGAATACTTATAAGTTGTCCTAATTCATTTTATTTATACTATTCTGTATAAATGATTATTGTTTTTGTATATTCTACCTCAAACATTAGAATTAAGCTCCCTGAAAGCAGGAGTGATGTTTTGTTTATATTAGCTGCATCTATAATACACAATACTGTGCACATCATAGATACTCAAAAGTGTTTTGGGCAAATAAATTAACAGCACTGGATAGTCTCTTGGTCAGCCATTAGTCTTCTCATCAGCATCCATGATATAACATAAAAATCTACCACAATTAAAATTTAATATATGTATATATATTAGCATACTTAGCCCTACCAATAACTAAGAAATAGATAATAGTATTGTCTCTAATTTGGAAAAAAAAAAGGGAGGAGACAGTGGGAAACTCAGTAAATTTCCTCAGTTCTCATAGCTAGGATTTAAGTTAAACATTCTGATGTATAATTCTTTGTTCTCTACCCTGTTGCTCTAGTATTTGCTGAAGTAGAGAACTACCAGCAAATAGTAAGCTAAAGGAGAAGAAGTATTTTTGCTTCCATGTATAGGAAGAAAAGACTATGAATTTTTTTGAATTAGATTATTTCTGGCTCAATACAATTATATGTAGTTGTGGAGGTGGTGGGTGTTTTCACACACCTTTCTATTCTAATTATTCCCACCCGAGAGGGTATCTGTGGTCTCACCTTCTGAAGCAATGAGCTGCTGTCAGGATCCATGTGTTACTGATCAGGCTGCCTCCACAGTGGTGAACATTATTGACCTGTAGACTGACTTGCCATGGCCAGTCACCCTCCTCTGCTAGAATGCCTCCAACGATCCTTTCTTCAGACAATGTTAACAAGTCTGGACGGGCCCCACATTCTAATGTGAAAAAGACATTAATGTTCTGGGAAGACTGTGAACTCACTTACATTTGGGAGATTACTGTAGAACTTCTCCATCATTTAAGATTCTTATGTCTTTTACATATTTTTTCCCAAGACATGCTAAATTTTCCAAAAGCATGATCAATGTATTACTTTTTGAGAGTCCATCTATGACTACTGTAGTTGACTTTGACTTCATTCTAGAGAACATTTCTGAACTCACTGGCCCAGGGACTTTGAATTCTGGACAGCTTCAGAATAATCTGGAATGCCTCATGAGTGAGAATTAAGGTAGGTCAGTACTGGAGATTACAGTTCAGGCCACAGACTCCTGGGAAATTTCATTTTTTCTCAATAGATTGCTACTCAAAGTGTGGTTTGTGGCCTTACAGCACAGGCATCCCCCTGCAAGTCTGTTAGAAATGATGATTTTAGGAGCCACACCAGGGAACAAATCAGAAGCAGCATTTTGAGAGAGATGGGTACACATATTGAGGTTGGAGGAAAACTTGTTTCACCAACAGACCTCCTTAGGGGCATTGCAGCTCATCATGGTCATTCCAGTCCACCTCCAGTCCTGACTTTATGTGACCAAATGTGCTTTCGGAAAGGAGTTGCTGTAGGGCTCCTGAATATTCCCCAAGGTGACTGGAGTTTTTAGATTCTAGAATCTAGGTTTACTTAATTATCTTAAGAAGCAAGTGAGCATTCCAATGGCTAGAGCTGAAATGGGTTAGGGTGGGTTAATCACTGAATTCCTTTCAATTTTAATTCTTATAATTCTTCTTTCTTGTTTAGTCTATTATTAAGAAATTAGGGGTGAACCACCAATAACAATTTCCATTGCTGGACTGGCACATTTCCTTGGACATTTCCAGGGTAGAGGAAGACCAGACTTTTATTAAGAATACCCATGGAACATAGGTTCGAATACCCATGGAATATAGGTTCCTTTGTTGTATTCCCAAACAAATTCCCCACGAATTAGTTAGTACATTTTTGTTTAAAAATAATCAAGAATTAAATATATAATAAAGTTGTACCCATAGAGGTAACGCCACCTTAAAATTGCTTAAGTATCCAAGATAGGCCAGCCAGCAATCCAGGTATAGTGAACTAATTCCTAACTGTGTTCTATAGGTTAAAGAAGTAAAATGCATTTTTCTAGAAATTATATTTCTCCTGTCCTAGACTGAGAATGTACAGGATGACACTGGAATATAGTGAATTTCCCTTCAAGTTATAGATCCAAAACTAATAAGACTCTTTAGAATTCTTTTTAGTATACTTTATGATTAACCACAAAAAAGCAAGCTATTCTGGTAGTTAGGAAAAACTACACAGATGGTGTTATCAAAGGTAATTTGCAAGTCTACAGAAACACCACTATAGAACCAAGGCCATAAAACCTTCCCAAACTCTCAAGAAAATGTCCATAAGGCTAATCTTGAGTACCAAGTTGGTAGTACTCACTACTTCATTGTTTGTTACTTCATTGTTTCTTTAAGGGAGAGAAATAACTTAAACACCCCCTCATAGGCCAGTGGGATCAATAGTGTCTTATTTCAAAAACCCACCTGAGTGAACTCAGAATAAAACCACCTGAGTGAACTCACTAACTTCATAGACACTACCTTGGCAAAGAGCACAAAAGACTTACACTTTGAATCCTTATGTTTTAGCAAACTATATTTATAAAATAATTTAAAAGCTTACCTTGAGTGAAAATATTTTCTGTATCCTGGTCAGTAATTGCTAGCATTAAAAAACAAAGAGTGAGAATAAGATCAACAAAATGCCAGCTGAAAGTCATTTCACCTTCACTTCTTACAGTGCAGTACTTGAACAACCAGTACTTGAAAGTCATTTCACCTTGATTTCTTACAGTGCAGTACTTGAACAACCAGAATCAGAATCACTGGAGGGTTTGCTGAAATTCAGATTCCTAGGCTCCACCCCAAGTCTGCTGAAAGAACTTCTGAGTCATGTGCCCCAGAAATCTGTTTACAACCATGCCCCTATTTGTTATGCACATGATTTGTGCTTAAATTTCTCATCAAATTCTTAAAACATTTCTTTGCTCTCAAGTCACTCAGTATAGTATGAAAAAGACATATGCAAGACCTCAAGACGCAATGTGATAAATATTGTAAGAGAAGTTAATTGTTCATGTTTTCAAATACAGCTGTAAGTATACATTGGTACATATGTATGTTACTTTACTGATAATATTCTATGTGCTGAAGATTAACAGTGAGCAAAACACAGGAACTCTGTCCACATATCATTTAAAGATAGAAATTAATCAAGAAGCCATTCAAATAAATTCAAACATAATGTGGAAAGACGAAAAGGGTAACAATGCTATCAAAGAGAATAACTGAAGTAAAAATGGAGGAAATGACATTTGCACTGTAGTTTGAAAACCTAAAAGGAAAGTTTCAGGTAGACAAGAGGGGAAAACACATTCTAAAGAGAAGGTGTGATGGGCATAAATGCATGGAGGTATAAGATGTTCATTGGGCAATGAAATCTGTAGTGCTAGTGCCTATGTTGCATGGGGGGGCGGGTAGAGGCAGGTTGGGATGTGTGAAGACTTGCAAGAAAATTATGTCAGGATCAGTTGGTGATGGTCTGGGTATTTCAATTTAAGGTCTGCATGCAGATCAGTTTTCTCCGCATGTCCTGCAGTCATCTGAAACTCAACCTGACCAAATTTTATCTGAAATTTGCTAGTTATGTTATCACACCAACAGGCAGCTAGCAATTGTCTCAAATTTCCCCTTTCTCATCATTCTCACATATTATTGATCACCAGTTTCTGTAACTTCTAACCCTTTTTTCCCCCTTTATTGTTGTGCTGGGTGGGGATACATTATAGCATTTACAAAGGTTCTTACAATGTATCAAATATATCATGCTTGAATTCACCCCCTCCACTGCTCTCCTTCATCTCCCCTCACCCCGATTCCTGGACCGGTTTCAACAGGTATCATTTTTGCATTTACATCCATGTGAACACATTATTTGCACCGTATTCATACTCCTACTCCCTTTCCCTGACACCTCCCTCCCATGGGTGCCAAACCTTCCCTCTGGCCAGGACCTGTTCTGCCATTCTGTTCTCAGATTTCATAGGAGAAAAAGATAAAAGATAAAAAGAAAAACATGACGTTTTTGCTGGTTTGAACTCAGGGCCTACACCTTGAGCAAATCTACCAGCCCTTTTATGTGAAGGGTGTTTTTGAGATAGGATCTTGTGAACTATTTTGCCCAGGCTGGCTTTGAACTGTGATCCTCCTGATCTGTGCCTCCTGAGTAGCTAGGATTATAGGCATGAGCCACCGGAGCCCAGTTTTTTCTCTCTTTTTCTGGTGGGACTGGGGTTTGAACTCAGGGCTTCACACTTGCAAAGCAGGCTGCAAAACAGGCATTCTACTGCTTGAGCCACACCTCCAGTTCTGTAAGTGCTTTGATGGCACTGATAAGTATTATGATAGCACAAGTCAATTATTCCAGTAGCCTCTCTCTTCCATGCTCTGCCAAACATCATGCTTATTACAGATTATTGTTTCTTTTCATCTCTCCTTTTCCTGAAGTTTTCTTTCTCTCTTCTCAAAATATGGAAATCCTACTTATATTTTAAAATCAAAGTTTGTCCATTCTCTTCCATGAAGCTTTTGTTTAGAGATAGATACCAAGCACTCTAGTTTCTTCCTTTCTTGATTTCTTCAGCAGTCACTGCTCTCTCTCTCTCTCTCTCTCTCTCTCTAGTGTTGGAAACTGAAATCCAACCTAGGGCTTTGTACATGGTAAACAAATGCTCTACCTCTGAGCTTCATCCCAACACTCATATTCTCTCTTGATTGTCAAGTTTATTGTCTGGATCACTGTCTTGCATTTGGGATATCTTTCACTTCAGCTAGATTAGGAGACCCCGGGAGGTAGAAATCACCATTATATCACCACATTGTCTAGCACAATGCTAAAAAATACCCAAGCACTTGAGAAGTGTTTTTGGAAGAATTCTTTAATGTGTGGGAGCAGAGACTTAACAAACTGTGATGTGTGGGCATCAGCAAGTCAGGATACAGTAAGGCTGTGGAGTTGAAGCAGTATCTTCAAATTCTTTCCTATGCTAAGCATTAACTTTTTAGTTGTAGGGGTAGAAGAAGAGAGATTAGGGTGAAGAATGGGAGCATTTGGAGGATTTGGGAAGAAAATTTTAGAAAGAGGAAAGCATTCTGGTATTTTAACAACTAGTACTGCTATAGCAGGTACAAACTAGTCTAGTGTTGGACCCACAAAAATTCTTTTAGTCTTGAGGTCATTATGAGGAAGTCATAGCTTCTTAAGCTAGCAGTACATTGCAAAGTTGGAGGGGTGCTCTTTATTAATCATTTCAAACATGCAATAATTGGTAATTGACTATCTATTATACATTAGACATTGGGTAGTAATGAAAAAGGCAGGGTAGTTATTACCTTTAGGAAGCTTACAGAATAGGAGAAAGCTATACGATACAGAAATCACATAAATAATTTTTTATTTTAAATTAGTTTTATAGCAGAAGATGGAGTCTGTGAGAAGAAGCATTCATTAAATTGCTCTTTGACCTTGAGTATCTATTTACTTTTCTTATAGCAGGTCCATAGATTGGACATCTGATAATATCCCTCATAAGAAGTCTTAGAGAGATAATTAATAATGAATTTTGAGCCAGTGGCTCACTTCTGTAAGACTAGCTACTTGGAATTCTGAGATATGAAGGATCATGGTTCCAGGCCAGCCCAGGCAAAAATTTTTCAGTACCTATCTCAATGAATAAAAACTGGGTGTGGTGGTGTGGCAATCATCCCAGTGCTGGTGGGAAACTTAAAATATGAGAATTGTGGCAGAAGCCTGCATGAGCAAAAAGTGAGACCCTATCTACAAAATAACCAAAAAAGGGCTGGAAGCCTGGCTCAACTGGTAAGGTGACTGCCTTACAAGTATGAATGAAGCCCTCAGTTCAAACTCCAATACCAACAAAAAAGAGAAAAATTTTTAGCAAAAAAATTTCACTATATGAATTATAAATGAGTCTTAAATCTTAGAATGTTTTATTTCAATCCTGTTAGAATGGTAATTATCAAAAGGATAAGCAATAACAAACGCTGGTAAGGATCTGGAGAAAGGTAAACTTTCACGTGCTGCTGGTGGGAATGTAAATTAGCACAGCCTATGGAAATTGTTCTGGAGGTGTCTCAAAAAAAAAAAAAACAAAAACAAAAACAAAAACTAAAAATAGAACTATTGTGTGATTCAACTATCCCACTATTTAGTATACATCCAAAGGAATTGAAACCAGGTGTCAATGAGACATCTGGACCTATTGTTTATTGCAGCACAGTTCACAATAGCCAAGATATTGAATAAGCTTACATGCCCAACAATGGATGAATAGGCAAAAAGTAGCACAAAAACACAATGGAATATTATTCAGCCAAAAACAAAGTATGAAATCCTGTCACTGCAGCAACATAGAACTGGTTGATATGTTTAATTTCTAATGTTCTCACTTAGCTATGGAGCTAAAAAGTTGAGTTTAAAGAATAGAGACTAGAATAACTTTTTCCAGAGCCTGGCAAGGGTATGGGGTAGGGGAGGATGGAAAGAAGATGGGCAATGGGTTCAGAGGTGCCTTGGGATAGAAGGAGTAACTTCTGCTCTACAGAAGTAGGATAACTATAGTTGATAAGAATAAATTAATTATTCAACATAGCTACTAGAAAGGATTTTAAATCTCCCCATTGCAAAGAAATATTATATGTCTGAGATGACAGAAGTGTCAATTACCCTAATTTAAACTTTACGCATTATATAAATTCATTGAAATGTCACTGAACCCACATATAGTATAATTACTATGTGTTAATTAAAAATAAAAACATTTAAAAAAGCATTTTCACATTCTCCTCATGTGGCCCTGAGCTATCTGGACAGGAATTATTATTCCCATTATATGAAGGAGAAAACTGAAGCCAAAAATCTTAGATCCCAACATCTAAAATTCATTGCTATTGGAATATTCCCTTAAAGAATCACTCTAAGCAATTTCAGCAAGAAAGTGAATTTGCAAACCTACTGAGCTTGCTTTTTCTTTTTGTGTTATTGTGTGCAGGACTCAAAGCAGAATGGAAAAAGACATGTTAGAATAAATTAAAATATATTAAAAATAAATTAAAATATATTAAAAATAAATTAAAATATATTGTACTAGGAATTAATTCTCCTCCCATTTTGAAACTATTCTGCTTAAGAAAAACAAAGTATTTTTTAAAATAAATATAATCTTTTGGATAATAAAAATATCTTAGAATATTTTATATTAGAGTGCTATACACCATCTTGAGTTTTTAATATATTGTTTTAATCATGTTTAATTTTAAAGAAAGAGGAGTCTGTATCACATTTAAGATGTGAATTTGAATGAGTAATCTTGAGAGACAGACTGAAACAAAATGGTATAAAAATGATACTTGCCTGTTATCCCACTTGGAGGGCTTATTTCCAAGTTTCCAGAGTTATTCAGCATTTGTTGTAAAATAGATTGAACTCTGCCTTTCATTGTTTCCCCATTGTTACGTCTGCTGAATCGAAATTTCATGACAATATCTGCTATCACACCACTGCCATCTTGCCTGTAAACCATAAAGATACTTAATTTTCTTAATCTTTCATATCCAAGTCTCCTCACATATAAAATGGATTGCTATGAAGATTATATTAATATGTATATATATTTTGCAAAGAGGGTATAGCATATAGTAAGTACACTATAATAAATATTAGCTATTAGAAGACTTCACCAATCTGAAAAAAATCTTTGTGTGCTTAAAGAAACTTATAAAGTGATGAGGTTCCACACTTATGTAAGTTAGAAGCTCAAGTTAATTTTCTGGTACCTAGACCCATTCTTCTGGGTACAATAGCAAATTTTAAACTGTTGTAGTCATATGTTAAGATTTTATATCACATTTTAATTAGCCACAGATATTGCATTCCTAACAATGAACTTTTAATGATCTAAAACCTAGATAAATTCCACTTTCTTCCATGCTAACTACCTAAGCCACTTTTTTCACCTGGTGTTGATGACTCCCTTTCCTGAAAGTTTGATGCTCTCACTTGCCTCTCGGTTCCTTCTCATTTCAATTGCCAGTTTGGACTTGGTATTTATTCCACATGCTAATTTATTTAACACATATTAAATAGGTACCTTCATGTGCTACACACTATTACAATTATGTTTCAGGAATTATTTGTGGCCAAGTTTTGCAGTTGACAGTATCATGGATCTGGAAATGTAGCTAGAGAAGCAGACACTGAACATATAATTACAAATTCCATGTTAACATGAAAATCTAAGTCATAAAAAAACCTTTCCTTTTTTAAATATTCAAGTTGCACAATTAACTACCTAAATTATAAATCCATGCTTACTAAGCAATATCCCAAAAGTTTAATTTCCTATATTTAGAATATTGCATGACAACACATTCAATCTATTGATAATTTAATTTTGATTGTTAATTAAGTACAATTCTGGCTATTTAAAAATAAAGCTGTAACTTATGAAGATTTTAGTATGACTCATCATATATGAGTCTGAACTTACTACAAAGTTGTAAGCATGTGTTCAAAACTGAAACAAGCTTGGGACTGTGATGAATTTGCCAAGTGATGCCAATCTTAAGAGAGGCTTATCCAAGTACCCCAAGGTACCTCCTCCAATCACCACTCTTATTGCTGCTGACTTGACTGGGTGGTATGTACCTTTCTTCTTAAACTTGTATATATAACCCTTCTTCAAGTAATTAAACAATTTTCTTTTTTCTTAATATCTAGAACATTTGTAATGTTCATATTGATTACATAAAATCTTTGACCAAATGGTAAATTCAACCATTTTCAACATGGAATATTGTCACATCCATACCCCCTTCCTCATTCAGGGTACTTTCAAAATTTTAAACTGACTTTAAAGTATATTAAAAAACTTCCTGCATAAACCATATGAAAGTGAGGAAAATCTCTAATGATCAAAATAAATATCATTAATATTATGTGATATGCACCAGAATATTCAACAGGCTTTCTTAGAGAAGGCCTTGGGCTAGTGCAAAATATGAAGTTAGATTGAAGTTTCAAAATAAGGCCAGGTATCTCAAAAAAAAAATCTAACTACCCAGTGAAAGCATAAATCAGAAAGAAAAGAAATCTGCTCATCACCTGATTAAAGAAAAAGTTTATCTGTAATCAAAGTTCAGCTCTAAATCTCTAAATGCAAAAAAGATGTTTTTCCTGAGAATTCATAATCATGAACCTGGGTATATGATATTTGGATTTGCATCAGTACTTTCTGTATATTCTCCGAATCTTTTTGTTTTGTTTTGTTTTTCAGTGGGACTGGGGTTTGGACTCAGGGCTTCATGCTTGCAAAGCAGGTGCTCTACTGTGTGAGCCACTCCTCCAGTTTGTTTTGCTCTGGTTATTTTGGAGATGAGGTTCTCACAAAATATTTGCCTGGTACTGGCCTTCAGCTGTGATCTTTCTGATCTCAACCTGCCAAAGAGCTAGGACTACAGGTATGAGCTATGGTGCCCAGTTATTCCCGGAACCTTTAACCTGAGAAATTAACAACAACAAATCCATGCACTGTCTCACAGAAGCAAATGCTCTGGAGGATTCTGAAGGAATGTGAATTCAATCCAGTCTACAGAGGATCTCACTTAGAAAGTAGGAAAACAGTAAGAAAGAAGGAAAACAGCTATTAATTTAGAATTTTAGATCTATACTGAATTATTATTTGAGAACAGTAAGGCCACTTTTTTAATATCACAACTAAACAAAAAGTGAGCTTATCACCCACTGACTGTTGTGAAAGAAGTTATAAAGGGGATGCTTCAGTAAAAAGGAAGTTGAACCCAGAGAGCTTGAGGTATAAGAAGAAATAGGAAACAAAGAAAATTTCAAATTATGAGTAATCTTAAAGGGCTTTAGCAGTGATGTAATAATTTTAGTGACTAATTTAGAGACATTAAAATAACGTAGAACTAAAACATAGTTAATAATAACTTGAAACAAGAGTTCCAAGTTCCCTGTATTATTTGGAGGAAGTTTAGGGTAGTAAGGCAACTCTCCTTGTTCAAATTTTAATGTTAACCACTGGAATAAAACAAATAGAATGGATAACTTCTAAACTAGTGAAAAAATGCAGAAAATGAAGAAAAAATTATTTAAGGGCAATACAGTAGGAAAAACAAGGATAAAAATATCAGGATAAAGAACATAAAGAGTATAGAAGAAATAAAGCCAAATGTGAAAGCCATCACATAAATGAAAGCTGAGTAAGCTTGACAGCTAAAGGTGAAGGTGGTTAGAATGCACTAAAAATGTCACTTCTGCTTGTTGTAGAAGAATTATGTAACCTATAAGAACATGTAAATTATGAAAATAAGAGGGTAAATATTTACCAAACCAGCCAGAAACTGTTGTTTAAGCTTGTAATCCTAACTTCTTGGATTGCAAGGCTTGGGAAGATCATGGTTGACGCTGGCCTGGGCAAAAAGTTCATGAGACCTCATCTCAATCTATGGCAAGGTGTACTCCTGCAGCCTGTCAACCCAGTTACATAGGGAAGTGCAAATGGGAGAGCATAAAGCAAGATCCTGTCTCAAAAGTAACCAACACAAAAAGGGCTGGAGAATGATGCAAGTGGCAGAGTGCTTGCCTAGTTGTAGCAAGGCCCTGAGTTCAACTCTCAGTACTGCAAAAAATAAAAAAAGATATATTAAACAAAGGAACAAATTATAACTACAAGACAGCACAGACAAGGTGCCATATTAATGTTAGGAATGAGATTTTAAGATGAACAATCATTAATGAGGGATAAAGGGAAGTAAAATATCTGGATAAAAGAAATAATTCATGAAGAAGGTAAAACCATCCTAAACATATAGGTACCTAATAATACGTCCTGAAAAATATTAAGCAAGGAAAGACAGACAAATCATAGAGGTGGATTTTATGTGATCATCATAATTATCAAGCTTACCAGGAAGAAACAGAATTGATCATCCAGAAACAGACCCAAAGGCCAATGTAAACAATGTATCATGGGACAGCATTAGAAATCTGAAGGAAAATGGCTCAAGTGGAAAAATTAAATCAGATCTTTACCTCATACCATTCACAAACTTAAAACCTGAACATGAGTATCAAAAATTTAAATTTTAATAAGAAGATATGAATAAATGGTTGGAGAGAAAGGATTTCTTAATTAAGACATTTTAAAACTGATTTTCTATAGCAAAAGATGTTATAAACAAAGTACACAGATATGTTGTATACAGGGAAAATACATTTACAATTCAGAAAGTGGTACCTATAGTAAGTACATAACTACAAATAAATAAGAGAAGACCAGCAAACAATAGGAAAGCAGGAAAAATATGAATGTGTTGATTCAAAGAGGAGGGATCCAGAGCAAATGGTAAAAATTATAAATAAATGCTCAAATGAGACTGCTTTATATCAACTAATTTATTTGATATTCATCAAAACACTATCAAATAAGCATTGTTATTATTAGAAGAAACTGAGGTTCAGAAAAGTTAAATAATTGCCAGAAGTGATATAACTGCTGAGAATCAATACTGGAATTTTCACTTAAGCAGTTTGACTCCAAATTCTATTATGTTTTTTTTTTCTTGTTTAATCATATGTGCATACATTGTTTGGGCCATTTCTACCCCCTACCCCCGCACCCTCCCTTTCTCTCCTCTCCCCCCTCGCTTTCAGGCAGAATCTGTTCTGCTCTTATCTCTAATTTTGTTGAAGAGAGTATAAACAATGAGAAAGACAAAGCATTTTTGCTAGTTGGGATAAGGATAGCTATACAGGGAGATTCCTAGCATTGCTTCCATGTATAAATGTGTTACATTCCAAGTTGATTCATCTCTTACTGACCTTTTCTCTAGTTCCTGATCCCCTTCTCTTTTTGAACTCTGTTGCTTTAAGGTTTCTGTATTAGTTCCTCTGCAGTGAGGCCCTCAAATACTATCATGTTTTTTAGGATGTCTTACCTGTCCCCATACCTCCCATATGTGCTCTCACCTTATCATGTGCCCAAGTCCAATCATATTGCTGTATTTGCCCTAGATCTAAAGTCTGCATATGAGGGAAAACAAAAGATTTTTGGTCTTCTGAGCCTGGCTAACCTCGCTTAGAATGATGTTCTCCAGTTCCATCCATTTACTTGCAAATGATAAGATTTCATTCTTCTTCATGACTGAGTAAAATTCCATTGTGTACAAGTACCACATTTTCTTGATCCATTCATCAGTAGTGGGACATCTTGGCTGTTTCCATAACTTGGCTATTGTGAGTAGCACTGCAATAAATGGGTGTGCAAGTGCCTCTGGAGTAACCTGTGTCACATTCCTTTGGGTATATCCCCAGGAGTGGGATTGCTGGATCTTATGGCAGATCTATGTTTAGATTTTTAAAAAGCCTTCAATTTTTTTCCAGAGTGGTTGCGCTAGTTTTCATTCCCACCAGCAGTGTACGAAGGTTCCTTTTTCCCCACATACTCACCAACACCTGTTGTTAGTGGTGTTGCTAATGATGGCTATTCTAA